TTTATTGTCTTAATTATACTGTTTTTCTAAAGGGATATTTTCCTACAATATTTTACTTTGTGATTTCAAGGTCAAGTGTCAACAACCCTGTTCGGGGCAACTCTCTGGACTGTGACTGACAGACAGAGCTGGGGAAGACTGTCTGAGCAAGCTGACTGCTCTGGCAAAATGGAACCTTATTTTGATCAACAGCTGTACCACATGCAATATGTTTTCAATTTGAGATGGGGAACTCAGTGACATTGCCAAGGAACTTTGTACATCGTTGGTTATTTTATTTGGGCTAGAATGGTACATAGATTATGATCCCATCGTTCTGCCAGAATACCATGGTGACYGACTTTGTTCTTTGAAACCTGATTTGGGAGTTTGGCAAACTAATTCATAAACTCATAAAGTTGTAAGTTTCCAAATGGGTCACCTGAAATCATCTGCCTTTTGGTGAAGTGTTTTTAAGAATTCTGTGGTCTTCTCATTTCTTCAGAAATGGACTCTCTCACAAATGTATCTTGGTAAGTCTACTTTGAGTCTATCACATGCTGCATGAATATTTGATGAGTCTGTCCTTCCCCCAACACATCCTTTCCTAAATGTAAATATTCTTTAGGTCATCCACATTCATTTAAATGATACGCTCCCAGAATTCTCTATGTGCATTCTAACACAACCCTGGCTCCAACAGATGCACCTTCTACAGCACAAAAAAAATAAATAAATAAATAAAAATAAAAAAAAGACTTTCCCAAGAGTTTTCATGGTTAACTCCAAAAAATATGTCTTTACATCTTAATCTCATTTCAGCATTCTTCCTTCTGAAATTTCAACACACTTCAAAAAATGTTTGTTGATGATGCCAATTTGGAGTTTGCTATACTTATTCTAAAAAGTAAAGCACATCTTAAAAGCTATTTGGGGGGCTGGAAGGGTGGCTCAGTGGTAGAGCGCTTGCCTAGCATGCGTAAGGCACCTTGTTCAATCTTTAGCACCACATAAWAATAAATAAATAAAGGTACTGTGTCCATCTACAACTAAAAATAAATATCAAGAAAAAAAAGCTATTTGGTCAGCCCTCAGTTGCTTTGAATTCCAGCATAGATTTGCTGTTATGTCTTAGAGACGTCTTCTCTACCATCACTCCCTCCCTCTAAAATGCATCCTTCTCATGCCCTTTKAATTTTTTTTCCTTATAAATGATCCACTTCAAAAGTGAATGTGATTTGTAAAATGACAATTTCTACAACCTCCCATCTTTAGGTACTTTACACTTAGGATATACATATGAGTCAGTAATAAGGAAACAGGCTACGTTGCTGTCGGGCATCTTAGCAGGCTTCCTGTTACTGTCCCTCCAGCACTGTGTAGTCATAAAGGACAGCATGAATCGACCCTCATTGGCACAAACCTTCAGCTGGATTACACACGTCCCACGTTGTCTTCTGGTTGGTGGCCCTCCGTGCAGTGAATGGATGCCCACGTTCTCAGGATTTATTTCTAATTTGAAGATTCGCTTCAGCAAGAATTCTGTTTCTGGGCCTGCTCTAATAGTCACTTTCTCACCACCCACCCATATATATATTTGGGTGCCGTCTTTTCCGATGTCCACAATGGTCTGTCCGGGCTGACTCTCTGGCTGATTCCCTAAAGTGGAACAGTCTCCTCCTGTTGCTTTCCCAGGCCACAGCCGCTGCCCACAAACRTAACACAATAGGGGTGTTCACAACTCACCTGCGCCATTGAAGTCTCTGAGCAAGTGTCAGTCTCCAGAAAGTCCCCCMGACCCCCTGACCTAAGCTAGCACACACACTCTACTGTGAGCCTGCTTCAGCCTGGACCTTCTTGATATAACTAGATATTATCCTCCATGGTTACTGCTGTTTCGATGGTTGAGTGTAAGCCTCCTCCTTTAGAATTTGCATTTCATCCAGGCTGTTCTTTGCCACTTTTCTTCACAATTTTGTTCCTATAAGATAGAAGAGCACCTGGCCTGTAAAGGGCATTAATTATGTTTGTGATTAAATTTAACCCAGGATGTTGAATTTCTTTGAAGTTCAATTTATTTCTTTGTTAAAGAATTTGCACTTCAGGGTTGTTAGTRAAGAATATGTTTGTTTACAATCATTGCCATGGATGCATAGGCTATGTTAGGAGTGAATCATTGATATTCATTTGCACCAGATTTACCAGAACGGAGTTAAACTTTACTAGAACATAGTGACTTTTCCCTCACTAACAATAAGTGAAAATATTGAATTTGTATATAATGCCAGCCTGTAACACTTGAACTGATTAACCATTAAAACTATTGGTTGTATCAAACATTAGTAATGTGGCATTTCACTCAAAACATCTTTAAAGGACAAATGCCAGATTAATTACAGGGTTTAATGTTTTACTTCACTCAGGAAGGCTTGATAATGTACTAAAATATATTTCATTTCTAGGCTTATTTTTCCTAAGGGAAGGTAAATTCAGTCATTTTGAAATGTCAGCCCTTTTTAAATCAAATCTGTGACATAAAATAGAATGGGAAAGTAAAATCGCATTGCTGAATTATTAATTCAAAATCTTAAATCATCCTTGCTTTCTAGATGCACTTTACCATACTGCTAAATTCAAATAAAATAATATAAATTTACATGATAACAGTGATTTGTTCTTACATGGAATGTCTGGAAGTAATAAAGTTGCTCAGTAATGCATCTAATTTTTTCTTATAAATAAAATATTTATAAATGACACAACTGCCCAGAGTGCCAGCACTGTGTTCCCCATCAACCCCCCAACGCTGGGAAGCCCTTGGCAAACAGCATGCCTGGGGGAGCTGCGCCCCAGGCTCTGCTCAGTTTCCATGTGTTAAAATGGTTTTAATTTATCTTACCAAGCTATCAATGAAGCCAACGTAGAAACTTCTAAACTTCAAGAAACACTCTTAAAAACCAGAACAACATTCTCTAAGGAACTTAGTGGCTGAGGTCAGTGCTGGGCAGCATCCTCTGGAAGTGGTCACCTGCTTCTGGCCCTCGCTGGCAGTATGTCCATGAGAGTATTTCAATTTGCTTGAAAGTAAGTAACATCACGTCCATGACAAAGAGGAAAGCAAGTAACACCATCTCCATGACAGTGGGTGATGACCCATCCATGTCAAAGATGCAGAGGAGGACAGAGTGACTGGATTCCACATCCAATAAAGCCCTCCAGGGGTTGGATCAGAATTCCATGGTCATGGTGTGAGGTGTGAACATACAAGCAGCCATTTATTTGGGGGGATTACCACTTATCAAAATGCCTATGAATCTCTTTCCCCAGTATAAACGCTATGTCGCTTCAGGACTCCAGTAAGTTAAACAGTATTCTCCATCTTCAGGGAGACTTTCCTTTCATAGATTTTTTATTTGTTATGAAACAAATATTGGTTCTCGCTTCAATGGGAAAGATTCCAACAAGACAAAAATACACCAGAAATTTTCCTATAGRAATGCCACTTACTCCTAAGCTGGGATTGATTGATCAAGAGAACAGGAAGAATTCCTGGAGAAAAAGAAGAGGGAGCCCTGGGCTGAGGTTCTTTCCACTCAACCCTTAGCTATAATCACATTTCTCTTTTTTTGCTTTTAGCTCTGTTCTGAAATTCTATCCTTGAAGACACTGAGATGCTTCAGAGTTTCTCAGGGAAAMACCTATTAACCTATTCTGTTTTCGAGTTAACAAAGTGATCAACRTGCTCCCATATTTGGGGAATAAACTCATAATACTAAAACTCACAGGAGTTTTACTACTGAAGTTTTACTACTAAAGCATATTGGCTCGTCAAAGGTACCAGAGGAGGGGGTGAGATTAGGGCCCCACATTCAGTGTCTAAACCACAGTCAATAAAAATAATTTAAAGTGAAATCTACATTTTATATCCTATTCTGAAATATTTTTAAAAAGTCTCAAAATTATTAAATGACAGTATTTCTGGCATATATCTCAACCTGCTGATATTGATTTAAAATATTTCACTAAACAAAATGTCTACATATTTTAAAACCCTTCATCATTATGGCATAGTCAGTATTAAGGGAGAATACCCCCAACAAATGTTAAGATTAAGGAAGATATTTAATTCTAAAAAATTCTGAGGCTGCACAGTAATTTTACGGGTCTTTCTATTTAAGGTAAAACTATTTGACACAAATTGATCTTCTTTTATACCATTGTCCTTTTTCTTTTTCTTTTTTTCCCTTGAGTTGTTCCCCTGTTGGGTGACTTCTAGAAAAGAAAGGTTTGTCTTGGCTGAGATAGYATGTAAACTTTGTTGAGATTTCGACAGCAGAGTGATCAATTCAGTAAAGAGAGGTTATGTGCAGCATAGCCTTCACAGTCATTCCTCCTCCTTACAACTGGACGTAGAAAATTTTAGCTGGATCCTTGGAGAAAATCAGACCCAGACACTTTTCCATAATTCACTTTAAATCATTGCTGCTTCTATAACTATGAGTCTGGTTCAAAACTGGCTTTCAGTGACTATATTCTACTGGGAACTTCCCAACCTTTATTGCTACAATGCTCAAATCAGTTTCATGAAAATGGGAACATCCAATAACTCTAATGAGTAGGGATGCACTAAAGCGACTTTAAGATGCTGTTCTGGGAATTATCCACAGTGGTGTTTTTGAAAAGAAGATGATTCTATCCATATATATATATATATATATATATATATATATATACTTGCTATACTCTATTGACAAATAGAGTGTACTCTCCACTGGGCAGCCAAAGCCTATAGAAAAATAAAAGTTTTAATGTTACACTCTGAATACAAAGTATTTTAAATAAATATTTTAATTCTATTGTTGGCATTTACAAGTAGAAAGCATACAGTATGTTACAAATATCAAAATGTGAAAAATATGAATGTTACATAAGTAACAAATGTAAAAAAAGGTATTTTCTTACCTTCCCTGAAAGTAAGAAAACTATTCAGCATAGGAAAATATCAGTATCAAAAACACAGCATAGGTGTAAAAAAAGTCTTTACACAGTATTAAAAAATGATCTACAAAATGACACAAAGTAAGAAATGTCGCAATTTGATTTTATATAAATTATAAAAACTGGGTACTTGGGAAAATGTTGAATGGATAAAACAGAAGTCCAATCATAGGCTTTGCTTAGGTCAATTTGTTAACATGTTAAAAGCATAGAACATTTTGTTTTCAATAAATAGCTTTTAAAAGTCTCTTAGAAGTTCTCTGGATCATCACTCTGCAGTGGGGAGGGGCATGTGGGGGCCAACACGTGGTTGTTTCGATCCTCAGGGAAAGCCTGAGGAAAGTCAGGAGGCCACAACTGTTTGCAAAAAAGATTCAGAAGTTTTAACATGATTTCGTAAGAAAGTGTTAAAGTGCTGAACAAAATGACTTCATTTTAGTACCCACTGTCATGTAAAACTTAAGCAAATACTCAGCCATTTCTGAGCACCATCGTATATGGAATCTATAATTCCGAAAAGTGTTCATGGTCTTTCCTTCAAGGATGGGAAGGATCTTCACTACACTGTACACAAGGATTGGTTAAACCTCAGGGACCTGGCAATGTAAAACATAATCATAATAATACAATGGAGACAATACACATACTCACTAGGAGAGCACAAGTTCTTGCTGCCATGGTAACCGTATTAATTTCAAAATCACCAACCAAACACTGGTAAATAAGCAAAACTTTTCAAATGTTGCATGCCACGTAACTAGCTACAAAATACAATGCATGCGGGAAAACAAATCCAACCAAGCGTATTTAAATTAAACAGTTGTTCTGAGGCGGTTTCAGCAGCATTGTGGTTATTATTTTCAAGGTCTCCCTCGACCACCAGTCCACACTGGCCTGTTCTCAACTGTGGCCCGACTTGGCTGGCCGTCTTGCAGTGGTCTGAGTGCTTCTCGCTCTCGCATTTCGACGCGCCAGCATGCCAAGGTCACACGTACTGCTCTGCTTCCCCTTCTTTGGGGACTGGCTTAGTCGGCCCACCTTTACCTTCTTCGTTTGCTGCTGCCTTTTCTGGGAGAGACGCCAAATCTTTAAAAACATCTACATAATGGCCAAAGCCAGGCCCCCAGTTCAAAAGGTTGTCCCAGTTGAAGTTCCCTGCGGGCTGGCCGAGCTTCAAGGGCAGAGTGCTGTCCGCGGCCCCCGGGGCGGCCCCCTGGCCCCCTGGCCCGCCCTCAGCCCTGCGGCCGTGGTACCTCCGGGGCTTCAGTCTGGCTCCGTAGTTGTCTTCGTCGTCCGCATCCGACTCGTTGACTTGAGACAACTTGGGCATCCTGGACGTGTACACCATGGGCTTTTCCCGGTCGTATTCCATTTCGGAGCACGTGAAAGACTCGTGGGAGTCGCTGTCGGAAGACGACTCTGGCGCGGGAATGCCGTCCGCGGGGTTCCTGGTCCTGGACAGGGGCCTCCTGCAGTCGTCCTCGGAAGAGGACCTCCCGTGGTCGGCGCTGCAGATGCTGGGGTTGCGGGGGCGAGGGGTGTTGAGCCGCTCCACCTCCTCAATGGAGAGCCCCACGGGAGGAGAGGACTCGAGGGGCATCTGCCCGGTCGGGTGCTTCAGGCGGCTCCCGGGTCTGGAGCCCTGCGCGGCCATGGCCTGGGGACTCTTGCTCCTGCGCCCCAGCCGCGTGGCGTAGTTGAAGAGGCCCGGGGGACAGGCCTCCCCGTGCATCTCCAGGGCATTCGCGTCCCTGATGGGCAGGTGCAGCTCCCTGGCCGGGCTGTTGCGGTAGAAAGTGGAGGACTTGGAGAAGGGGGCGGGGCTGTGTCGCGACAGGGGGTTGGGGGTGGGGCACGCCGAGTGGCTGAGGGAGCTGGTCCTCAAGCCCGGGCCGTAGGCGGGCTGGTAGGTCAGGCTGCTGGCKCCCAGGGGCATGGGCGACTGCCTGGCGAAGCCCAGCGGGCTGTGCCTCTGGATGGAGAACTTGGGCGTGTGGCTGCGGAACTGCTTGTAGTGCTGGATGATGTCGGCGTCCGAGGGCGCGATGCTGCTGGCGTTGTCGATGTCGTAGTGCTCGATCTCCTGCTCCGGCGAGGCCAGCGGCGCGCTGGGGATGGTCTCGGGGCCGTGCGGGATGTCCGTCTCGTCGTAGATGAGGTAGGGGTTCTCCCGCTCGATGATGTCGGGTTTGGGGTTCCCCTCCGGCTGCTTCCTCACGGCCATGTCGTCCCCGTAGGGGGGGATGTGGTCCGGGTCGTCGAAAGCCACGTTCTCGCTTCCCTTCTTCTTCTTCTTCTCCTTGGGCTTCTTCTCCTCCGCGGGCGCTTTGCCCTTCCTGCCCCGGCACTGGTGGCACAGGATGAGGCTCAGGACCAGGAGGGCCAGGGCGGTGGCGCAGCTGCCCACGATGGCAGGCACGGCCCACAGCGGCAGGGACAGCTCCTCAGGGCCCGGGCTCAGGACGCACACGTGGCCCCCGGGGCTCCCGGCTTTGCACACTTTCCCCTGAGGACAGAGGATGCCCAGGCAGGCCACCACGGTCTCGCAGGTCCTTCCCGTGTGCGACTCCGGGCAGCTGCAGGTRAAGCCCGAGTGCAGGCCCGGCTCGCAGCTGCCCCCGTTCTGGCACGGGTGCGAGGCGCAGTCGCCCGGGGGCACACACTTGTAGGCGTACCACTGGTTGATGCACAGCAGATCGCCCCAGCAAGGGTTGCTGGCACAGATGTTGGGGCCTCGGCAGCCAATCTTCACCGAGGGGTCCGTTTTGGAGATGGAAGCCAAGCTGTGCTTCCCGCTGAAAGGGAGACTTTCGCCACCATACAGCACCGACGCGATGCAGCCATCGAACCCTGCAGRGTTTAGAAAGCCCAGGAAAGTATGTTTAGAGAAGCTCAGGACTCAAACRCTAGGGAGTTCCCTCAAGATAGTCTGGGGACCATAGTCTCAGAGCCACCATCAATTCAAAGGCTGGGTATCTGTGCACCTTCTGACATAACTCAGCAAGACGTGAGATTTCCCACAAAAATGAACCTTGGCTGCTTGGATCTCACACATGGTAAGACTCAGGGAAGACCGGACTGGGTTTTCTTTGTCTCCCTCTTTTCTTCCATTTAATTATTTACTTGTCTGTTTTTATAGCCCACATACCAAGAGTTACATAGAAATCAAATTTATTTTTTGAGAGCAGAAAAATAGGCCAAAGGCTTTAACCACAAGACTAGGCAGTATCAATGGAGGTAACAGTACTCCCATGGAGTCCAACAGAGTTTCTTGGGGAGCAAAAGAAAAATCTTCGCTCTCACAGTGCTCTGTGCGTCTCTGGAGGATGGATGGCGAGTTCAACTGTGGCTTTAATATTTCATGAGGTTGAGACCACAGGGTTAGAAGGAATTTCTAAAATGGCTCCTTAGGGGTAATAATGATGTGTGTGTATGTGTGTGTGTGTGTGTGTGTGTGTGTGTGTGTTTTATTAGACTGCAGTGCACTAATGCAGCTTCATTGTTCCTGTGTAAAGCATAGGAATCTGTTCTGATCTAGCATAATCTACATTCTAAAATACAGTAAATACATATGAAGAACTTGTGACCTGGAATTTAACTTTTATGCTTTCACTCCATTACTCTCACATTTTGTCTTTGCCTCTTTTTTGACTCATCATTCCGCCCAAACAACATTTCCACCCCTAATAAACGTTCTCTAAGAGCTTCTATGACATCTCCTACTTTGGTTCCTACAATTACTGGATTTCTTCTTATTACACAGTTTTCTTTTTTGACCCAGTCTCTTCTAAACAACCATTAAGTCGCACAGTTACTCAAGGTAAGAAAAGCCCCAGGCTTTCTTTTCCAGCCACACCCTCATGTTATCCATCACAACCAGGCCCGATCCTGCAGTTTTCTAGTGGACGCTGACAACACCTCATTCTATATTTCTAGCCTAAGTCTGCCCCTGAGTTCCAGCCCATCCATCCAAAGTTCTTTCTCAAAAGTGCTTCAAGCCCAAACTGKGTCAAAACAAAATCTTGGTGTTTCCAGAGGTGTGTGTCTTTGCACTACATTGAGGGTCCTCTCTTGGCAACAGCACCGTTCCTTGAGTTGAAAAGTTAGAAAACTCCCTKAACTTTACCAAAATCACCAACGGTTTGGTTGATATTACTTTAGAATATGTCTTGCCAATCAACTTCTTTCTAACCCTTTGGTTATAACATTAATCAGAGCTCAGATACCTTGCCCAGTTCACTGCCAACACCCTCCCAAATAACTCCCACAAGTCCACTCATGTCTTCCAATTCATTCTCCATGTGGCCTGAAAGATCTCTAATACACCTGCATATCTGATCTTGACACTTTTGTGTTTAATAACTTCCCATTGTTCTTCAAGCAAGACCAAAACTGCATCATGGTCTAGAATTTTCTCCAAAATAAATTGATCTTTTACTCACACCTGAACTCATTATTCAGATATGAGTACCTATGTCCATTTCCCACTTCACTTTCTTCTCCTTTTCTTTCACAAATCTCTAAAATTCTACATCCTCCCTTCACATCATTTTTCATAGATTAAAGTAATATTTGTGTTTAGGATTTCATGGATGTTTTTCTCCCTTGTTTCATGAGTTCCATGGGGAGAATGGCTATGAATGAGTACATATGTGAACATTTACATACATGCCTGGTAAATTCACAAGCATCCAAGCCCATGAGCTTATTATGAATTGTAAACTTTCTATAGGTAGTTAAAATGGTCTTGGGATACTCATAATTGATAATATCAGAAATAAAACTAGTTTTGTGAAGTAGATTTAWTGGTTTGTATATCTGATATTCATAATAAATAAGTAGATTTTTTCAGCTTCACCACAAAACCACCCACTTCTTGAGAAACAACTCTTCTTTTCCTTTATGACTCTATTCCACAGAAGGGTTTACCTGCTTGAGTATCTCGATGAGCTTGGTTGGGTGGAATTCCACCAAGAGATATAGTAAGCACGTCAAGACCACCAAAATCCTGAGTAGGGTGGACGATATCTCGGTTATAGATCCTGTCAATGGATAATACAGTAGCAGTTCCATTCTTTCCAATTAGGAAGGTATGCCAGTGGCCATCTGCAACATACACTTCAGGAATATTTCTCTCCACTTTCCCAGCAATTCCCGCATCTGATGTAAAATGTACTTTGCCATTCTTAATCTGGAAAACACATTAAAAATAATGTGCAATTAAAATGTGATATGCTCAAATAAAAATATCTGAATGGAACCAGCCCTTAAAATACTGATCAATCCAAAGTAGCTGGAATAGCTGAGAAGTCTGATAGTATTGGAAGATATGTACACACACATTGTATCTATAACTTTAGGTAACATATAATTTTACATTTAGAAATTTCAGTAGTTCTGCAGAGATTCTTACATTTAAAGCTATTTTTCAAGATGCATAGTTATTTTCCAGAACACAATTGAGATAATAATGTGGGATAATAGCTATCTTAAGATATGCAAATTACACCATTGTGGGATTCTATATCCAGGGCAGTGGYGAGTGTGTTCTATTGGTAATACAGAATACACTTAATCAAAGGCCCATGGTGATCAAAAATGCTAAAGCCACTTGCAAGATGAAAAATGAATGCTCTTTCATAAAGGAAGCAGAGTTGGAAAACTAAAGACAAGAATAAATTGTTTTACCTCTCATCTATGACATGGGAATTTTAGGAAAAAAATGATACCTATTATTTATATCATTTCTTGAGAGGAAAAACTGTGATGAATAAAGGGTGGATTCTTACTAAGGAGGTGTCTGGGCAAGGCTTGCCTTTGGCTGTCTTTTCCATCTATCTAAGGGGATTAGATTTCCTTCGCTTCACCCGGCAGAGCCCTGGGTAGCAGCAAGCTCCACTCCAGTTTCCAGCTCTGCATGGCCAGCAGCAGTGTAGACACTTTACGAGGCAAGGTGAACACTGGGTTCAGGGAACACTGTCCCTTCAGGACAGCTAGGCAGAGGGTGGAAGGGTGCCACGTGGCACAGGAAGGGAACAGAGGATGATCAGCTCGTCGCTCAGATCAAACACTATTTCCACAAGCAGCAAACACATCTGGTAGAACTAAAATCAGTTCATTTGTACTCTTTGGAAAATATGTGTACCACATTTACATACATCACTTGTAGAGTGATATGTTATTAAAGCAATCTTTCCAGATAAAAATAAATTTCAGTACCAAACCCAGAATGGAAAATAACAAATTCTAGTTAAATGACAATAGCATTTCATCAGTGGGCAGCAATTCACGAAGTGATGAAAACAGAAAGGCCAGTTTAGGAACAGTCAGAGGCCCTTTGTAAAGGGCCTGGGCGAGGGCCTCCTCCAGCTCTGCGCTTCTCCCCTACTTGATCTYGCCATGCCCTCCTCTTGTTCAGTGCAATTCTGAGCACTTGGAATATGCCACAGAATAAGAGTGGGGTTGGGGAGTGTAAGTTCTCATTATAATGTCCTTAATGTCTGGATTGGATCTGAAATGTCCCCTCCAAAAGCTCATGCATCAGGGGCCACAGCCATGTTCGGAGGGTAGGAAGAGCTCTGATCTCATCAGTGGATCCATGCATTTGATGRGTTAATAATTTTAATGGATACTGGGTAGTAACTGCAGGCAGGTAGGAGTGGCTGGAGGAGGTGGGTCACGGGGAGCATGCCCTGGAAGGGTTAATCTTCCCTCTGGCTCCTTTCACTATGTCTGCCACCTGGCTACCATAGGGGACAGCTTTCCTCCACCATGCCCTTCTGCCATGATGTTGGGTTCATCTCAAGCCCAGAGCAATGGAGTCTGCCAGGATGGACTGAGACTCTGAAACTCTGAGCCAAACAAACCTTTCCTCCTCTGAGTTGTTCTCATTAGACATTTTGGTCACAGCCATGCAAACTGACTGACACACACTTGATGTTTTCCTTCTCTYTAATGAGACTCCACCCAACACTGAGATCCTTCTGAACTTTCAGAACAGCATGCTAAGTTGTTTCTTGGTTGTTTATCTACATACATTTTTCTGATTTATTGATWAGTTTTTGAATATATAGAGGTTTGAGTCCCTTATTCGAATTCTCTACAACCTATCTACCTTTACTTAAACCAACAAACCAGGCAAAACAATAGAATAGGTTTGGAGTAGAAATGAAACTGAACACCTGACTAATAACAAAGAACTCCAAATATGGAGCYACCTGATAACGCTGTGAATGAAGGGAGTTTTGTGATATGCTTTAAATACAGTGTCAACAAAGGTCCACCCCGATAAGCTCTCCTTCAGCCTTTCTCTCTGAAGTTTTCTCTTTTTAATTTGTCAGAACAAACCTTGTCATTTCTGAACTCCTCTCCCTCCTCACATAGCCCTCTCCCGACACCCCCGCACCTCTAAACACACAGAACCCTGTCTATCCAACATTCTCTCTCATTTTCACCTCTGCATGTGTGTGGGGGTGGGGGAGACTGATTCAGAACGTGAAAAGCAAGAAAGCAAAAACACTCGTCAGAAAGTGAGTTAAAATAAAGAAAGAAACAAGCCAGGATACCCTGACTCTGATAAGCTAGCTGATAAGTCACACTGGTCCCAACTAGTTTCCCAGCCCTCACAAGCAGTTCATATTCCTGCCATCTGAATAATTGTTAAAATAGCCACTTTCTAACAGTCCACTTAATTCTCCTTATTTCTGGCCTCCACGCCACCTTGTATATTCAYTTTAAATGCTGAGCCCCTTAAACTCTGGAAAGTTGATTTTCAAAATTTTCACACCAAAAATGCATATGTGGGCTTGAATTAGTCATTGACTATTCATTAGCCCTTACTTTTGCTTCAAGAAAAGAAAATCTCTAAGTATGTGCTGTCGATGTAGCAACATCTTGAGAAGCTATGGTCCTCTTGCATATGCAAGAAATTACAATAACAAAAATGGATCCTGACATTCAGCTTAAGGAAGAAAAATTCTGTCTCCGATTCCTCCAAGCACACTGCAACTTGATTGAACTCCTTGGCTGGAAGAGATATGTCATTTACATGGCACGAGGACTTGGAAGCCGCCTAAGTATGAGACACAGACTTCAATGTCAAAGCCTCTTACAACAAGATGCTTCTCGTAGATGATGGAGGTCTRCTTCTTCCTCTACTCCTTTACTTTCTTGGCTTCTAACACACTTTTCAGTGAAAATTATGAACACCCAATTGTAGCATCGAGCAATGACTTGTAGCTGCTCTCTGTAATTGTTTTTATTAATTCCGGAACTGGGACCTTTGTTTCAACAACCTAAGGATGTTCTCCTGCATGGAATTAGGCAGAGTGTCCCCAACGGGGCAGGGCTGATGCCTTTGACCTCAGGGGTCTTTGTTCCAGGGTGCTGTGTATTACAGTGTGTTTGGCAGCATTCAGAATCTCTACCCAGTAGATGCCAGGAACACTTCCACCCCCAACTGTGAGAGTCAGCAGTGCTTCAGACAATGCAAAATGTCCCCAGGGAAGCAAAATTACCCTGGCTGGCAACGATTAAGGGGCTGTAATTTGAGAATTCAATAAAAGATTTGTTTTTGTACTACTTACTGAAGATATGCACGTGCAACCTAACCATGAAGGTCAGCTTAGATGAGAATTTTCAGACTAAAAAGTCCAAAATTTAGAAAAGTACATCTATTTTTAGTATTATATGTAAGTTAAATCAAATAATTTCTAATAATTTCCTATGTATTTTGGTTTTTTATTTAGGAATTTTTTAGTAGATGTAAAATATTGTAGGTGAAAAGAATTAAGCAAGTGTAGTCTTGTTTTTCTTGAGAATTTACTAGAATTTATATAAAAATTATCAGTAAAATTGCAATATATAAAATTATATTGATGGAAAGCAGTTATGAAAACATAAACTGAAAAACTGTTGATCCACATGGTGACAACTTATTTGTGGGAAAGAAAGCAAAATAATCATTTCAGGACTTCAGAAGCTCAGAGATGGTGGGAACACCCATGTCATGAAGTTATTCCCCAGGTTAGCATCTTATTTATAGATAAGAAAAAATGTATAAAAGGATAATGAAAAATAAATCCGTTGTTCCCATGAAGTATAATTTTTAAAGATTATTCGAAACTATTCGGAGAGATCAGGTGAAATTTCACTTACAATAAATCCAAAATGTACTTCATCTCACGGCGTTTACCTGGACAGCAGTTGAATATAAACCCTCAAATAAAGACGGATCTTTTCCAAATGTGCATCTGCAGTCTAATCTTACCCAATGACATATACCTATCAGTATTCAAAATAATTCTTGGAGAATATCATTTTTCCATTTCAAAGTCATTATCTTTTTGTTTTGCTTTGCTTAAAAGTAGGAGGAAAGCAATATTTTTTTTTTACCAGACAAAATACATTGCAACAGATCTTGTTGGCACTGCCCACCTGGCAGTGGTACCCTCTAGAACAAGAGAGAGGGTTTAGAAACCAGCCTATTCGGACCTTTGTTCCCCTGACCAGTGCCTGGGGGACAGTGAAGATAGATGGCACTGGACGGGTGCCCAGCCTTGGTCAGAACTCTGCTGGCTTGCGAAGGAGAGGACAGACACAGGGAGGGTGAGGAAGCCCTAGCACAGGTGGTCTCCTGAGGAAGCCCCCACAGGGTCTCACCTTCACGGTGGTGTAGTTGCTGCTCTCCTGGACGTGGATTAAAATGCCATTCTCACTTCTCGTCCTGAACTTGACTTCCAGACTGCTCACCCCGAAGGGCTCCAGAGCGGCACCACGGATGCTCTCTCTTAACAGGTACTCCCGCTTCTCGTTCTGGCTCACGTGGTAGTCCAGGCGACCCTTGCCTTCCAGGGACAAGGCGGTGTCAGGAGTGACAGCTGGAAGCCAGGAGGGAAGGAGAAGTGAGTGAAGGGCCCCGTTACTTAGAGCGTTCTCTATAGTGACCCAAGTCATATTAAAAAGGACCAGGAAGATATTAAGTTTAGGGAAATGATGGCTCTAATCCTACTGTGGAAAGAGGCGATTTCCATTTGTGAATTATTACATGAATGTATTTCAGATGCTGAAATCCATTTCAGAACCATGAAATGTAAAACACTTTATGACAGTCATTAATCACTTGGGAAATATTCACCAAAATTCTTGCCTCATGATACAAATCATGAATATTTGAAGACTTAGCCACCTGTTGGAATTTTGCACTTGAAAATTTTGTTTGTAATCAATTTCACTGTAATTCCAAAATTCATAAATGAATATGTTTAAATGACTTCTGATCTTTGGCTGATCTTTGGAAATTTGGTTAAAGAGGTATACACTCAAATACTAACAATTGAAACTTATTTTATTTTCAGTAATTGTGGATAGTTTAATTTATCATCATGTGTATCACTATGCATATAATAATGTGCTAAAATGTTCACAGTCCAGAAGCACGGAAGTTTAAACCAATGACAAAACTGAAGAAAAGAAAAGAAATGGAGTCAAAAGTATCTCAGCACTGGATGGTGTGCTTCAAAAAGGTGGGATTTATGAAACGTGAATCCTACATCAATTTAAGACAATGAATCTCAGGCATTTCTCAAGCCAATGGCTCATCTCATACTCCAGATTTATTAGTTTCTACTTCCTAGATGCTCACTTATTTTAAGAAATATCATGTGACAGCATACTTTTCCTATGCTTTTAATAGATCTGAAATAACTGTATACAATTATACTTTCTGCTACTAAGATCTTTTAGATATGATATCCTAAATTTTATCATGTATTTTTATACATTCTCATATTATAATAAAGTCAAGTGAGTCCTGAAAAAGTAATCAGATACCTGTAGTTGAATTAAATAGTAACCACTTATTTGAAAATAAATTTATTCTTATGAAAGAGGTCCCATTAGAGGTAGTTAGTGGAATATACAGCTTGAAATTATATCATTGTCTACTGATGGTTTGATTATCATTCATGTCTTATTAAAAATAAACCAGGGAGTAAAAGACAAGTAACTAATGAAGGATTTAGAAAGAAATATTCAGAACCAATTCCAACTGATTGCACATTGAAAATCTCACCTTCATTGTAATATATTATGCTGCTATTGTATTATGTTTTTTGCAGTATTTGCAGTGATTTACTATGTATATTTTTCTACTAAGCACAAAAAATTAACCAAAGAAATATTCCCTAATGGTGGATGATATTAAATTACAGCTTGACTACAGCACCTGACCTTTCAAGTTGACTAGCATTCTTTTAGATAACACAAAAATAAATCAATAAAATATATTTATAAAATGAAAGCTAAAGATTTAATTAGTAAGTAACTCCTTGAAAGGATATCACTCTTCTCAGCTTAAAAAAACCAAATTAAGAATATCATTATCTTGCAGCCACATCAATGTTTATAGAAGCTCAATTCACAATAGATGAACTGTAGAACCAACCTAGATGCCCTTCAATAGATGAATGGATGAAGAAACTGTGATATATATACACAATGGAATATTATATACACAATACTCAGCATTAAAAAAATAATAAAATTATGGTATTTGTAGGTAAATGGATGGAGCTGGAGTATATTATGCTAAGTGAAGTAAGCCAATCCCAAAAAACCAAAGGCCGAATGTTCTCTATGATAAGTGGACGCTAATCCATAATGTTGTGGGTCATGAGAAAAATGGAGGAACTTGATTGGGCAATGGTGGGGAAGGGATGGGAAGGGGGCATGTGGGCAGGAAAGATGGTGGAATGAGATGGACGTCATTATCCTAGGTACTTGTACAACTGCACATGTGGTGTTACGATAGATCATGTACAACCAGAGAAATTAAAAGTTGTGTTGCAATTGTGTACAATGAATCGAAATGCATTCTGCTGTCATATATACCTGATTAAAATAAATAAGTTAGTTATTTTTAGAAAATAAAATAAAGAATAATATCATTGTATTTTACCAATTATTACATATTTAATATTTTGACTATTTAGAATGAAAAGATTTAAAATTTAAATGTATATTTTAGGCGCATGTCTTTATACTTGTCGTGATCATTTGACTTCCAGGAGCCATTTACGTACATTTTTCACAGTATTTCCCCGTCAGTCCCTCTTTGCAATGACACTGCTGCCAGGACCAGTAGTCGGTACAGGTGCCTCCGTGTTGGCAGGGGTTGCGAGTACAAGCCCCTTCGAGTCGAGGGCATCTAAAATAAAGTCACCACAGAGAGCCATAAAGCACCAGCAGGATGGGAGGAAGTTGCTAAACACAGATCTAGACTTTTATCCACCTGTATAATTTCAAGCAATCATTCGAAGCTCAGGTTACAAGACATTTGAATCAACTAATCAAATTAGAAGGTGTCATGTAACACAACATCCACCTGGTAGTAAAAGAGAAGATTAAATAAAAAATAATACCTTTTGCAACAACAGAAGGGGGACATGCATTCTTTAAGTCAGTGCTTATGCAACTAAGACATGTTGGACACATGGAACCTTGGGCTAACAGGTTACAGGTGCCACATCTAGATGGGATGCCACATTCCTCACCAAGCTACCCATGCAACTAAGGTTTATGGAATGCCTACTTATATGCCAGGTTTGGGTCTAAGCATAGAGGTAAGTGGTGAAAATAAATCCAGGCATTCATGAAGTATCATCTTTTCCTTTGGGAGAGACAGACAACAACAAAGACATTCATTAAACACGTGGCTTGTCGGAGGGAAATTTTGTGGAATAACTCAGAGGAAGTGTACGAGAAATGTGGGTTCCTGGACCTCTGAACTGGATGGGGAGGGAAGGATTCGTCTTCATGGAAAGCTGGGCCAAGGCAGGCAGCAAGTGGGATAAGATCACTCCAGCAGAGGGGACGGCCAGGAGGGCACCCTGACGTGCAGGTGGACCCACACCTCTGAGGAAGGCCAAGGGGAGAGTGGGCTGCGGCAGGTGCACAAGCCGAGGTGGAGTGCTTGGGAAGGAAGGAAGGCCAGGTCAGGAAGGGTGCGTAACCCAGGTGCGGACTCTCCACTGTTACCCAGGAGATGGGAGCTACTGCAGCGTGGAGAGCAGAGTGGCAACAGGAACTGATTTGTTCCAAGAATGTCATTGTGGCTAATGGTGGGCTGAGTGTTGGGAGAGAGGTGTCCAAGAAAGGCTTGGAAGCTGTGGCCAAGCAGGTTTGACTTAAAAGCAAGAGAAAAAAAATCATATTTACAAATGTGTTTGTGTGAACTTGGAGAATGATTCAGAGGGAAGTACATGGAAGCACATCACCAGTGGCATGAAGTCTCAGCCCTGTCTGTACTGCTCTGTCAATAATAATAATGAGATGATGCTCCTTTGAGGAGAACAATAAAAATGTAGGAAAAAGAAAAATGCCAAATTGCATAGAATCCTTAAGTTGGAAACATTGGAAGTTATTCACAGCTTTGTGTTTACCATTTTATTTCTAGAGATCTTATCCAAGGAAAATAATGTCAGCAAAGATTTTTGTGAAAATATGCTGATCACAGGGCTATTAATATGTGGATAAAACTGAAAACAACTATGGTGTACAACAGTAGTTAAAATAGAGCACATTCATATTATGGGATACTAGGCAGGCATGAGCATAATAACCTCAGAGTATCTGTTCCTGGGTGGATAGGTCATAGGTTATTTTTATTTTCTTCTTTACATTTTTTCCCTGAATTTTTCAAATTTTCAAAGGAAGCAAGAATAATTTTTAAAATAAAATGTGATTTTTGCAGTTCCTAAGTCATTGCTGGGAACCTAATATATACTCAAATCTTTAGAAAGTCTTAGAGTTTATAATTAATTAAGGTATTAGCTGTTACACCAAGCACTCCTATAATCCCAAGAACTAAAGAGGCTGAGGCAGGAGGACCAAAAGTTCGAGGCCAGCTTCAGCAATGTAGCAAGACTCTAAGCAACCTAGAGAAATTTGTCAGGGGCTGGGGATGTGGCTCAGTGGTAAAGTGCCCCTGTGTTCAACCCCCATTACCAAAATAAACAAATAAAAAGAAAGAAATGAACTGTTCAAACTGTGTCAAGGTTTTGAGAACACAGGCATGTCTATTAGTGAAACTAATTTCAAACAAAGTGTTCTGTGAACACGATAGCTAACATGTACATATTACAACGAGTCCTTCATCTCCTAAGTACATTTGATCTTCCCAGCTCTGTAAGGAAGGGTGAACACGTGCACATGCATGCACACACAGATATTTTTCTTAGACTCCAGAAAATTAAAATTGTCTAATTAGGTATCACGCTTTATGCCAAATAAAATTTATCAGCTATAAATAGACATTTACAATTTAAAATGTGGTATTTTTAGGGAACTAGGCACGATAATTTCATCTGTGGATGTCCAATTAGCATATACTTCTGCATTTTTCTCTAAAATGACAAGAAAGAATCCATACTGATCCAGAATGCCCTGGGCTGCCAGGGCTTGGCTGGGCTCCAGAGGCCTCCCGTTGACGGCAAACTCCATGATACAGCCCACAAAGTCATGGCTTTCCACGTGTCCTCTCCTCTGCAGGATGGGCTCCAGCGATCGGATACCTCCAACTGTGACCCGGTTTGGCTGAACATCCAGAGTCCTGAATAAGAAAGGGAAGATAAGGATACGAGGACTAACACGAGAGATTTCTGGAAAATGCTTAGTTTGGGGGGAATAAAAGTACATCTGACTTGTTCTTGCACATGTTATGGTGTGGTAGACATCAAGGGGAAACACTGCAGGTTGGCACAGGTGCCCCCAAAAAAGATACCTGCAGAGTTGTTTGGTTTTCAAGATCTAAAAAATAATAACAAGTTGTGAAAATCATATTTTAAATCAGTCAAATTTGACCTACGTGACAATGCTGAGTCAGCAAGAAGCAGCTGCGCAGACAGAATGTGTGAAAGCAGGGCCACTCCCCCGCTGGCATCAGCTCCCGTTCTCTCTAGAGATGGTCTGCCAGCCAGTGGACTAGGCAGCTCAAGGTGTGTGCTTTTCTCTGTTCTTAATAAACTGGAGGGTGCTTTTGTTAGGCTACTCTTGTGTTTCTGGGTTAGAGGCTGTCAAAGCACATGTTAGCCATCATGGCACGTTTAGAGAATGATGACGAGTTAGGCTCCCCATCCTTCTCCTCCCCAGGACTCGGGTAACCTGCAACTCCTTCGTAAACTTTTCAAAGAACATTGACTGCACTAAACTCTCTTTTCTTTGGTTTTATCCTCATCTCTTATAATGCCTTTCAAAAAAAAACTGTGACACAAAATGTCATTAATCATCAATGTTTTATTTCATAGAATGAGAATCTCTATGAGTAAATTATCTTAAGCTTTTATGTAATACTTAAATTTCATAATGATTTTTAAATGTGTGAATCTGAAACGTCATGTCACTTTGCTCACCAGTCATCTGACACGGCCACATTACTGACAACGGTGCAGTACCCAGGTTCTTGGTTCTCGGAGCAGGAGTCCACGGTTAAGGATGCTGCCTGCAAAGCAAGAGCAGGGAATGTCACTGTGGGGCCCCTTGTCCCCACACACCCAGGACTCGTCTGTGCAGATGTGATTCTGACACTGTGAGGACACTGGGATCTGGTGTGACACAAGACATGACAAATCATAGAATTTACTACAAATGTTAAATTATAGCACATATCTCTTTGATGTTTTTAAACCCAAACTGTGATTGTTTTTACACACAAGAGGTAGCAGGGTGCTTTGAAAATTTCCCTCCTGCTTCCTCATTTTATGAAAAAATAAAATGTCATGAATCGTCAGTCTTCCTTAAAATATCACACAGTAGTTCTGGGCTATTTCCTGGGATCATAATGTTCACAAACCTATTTATTCTACTATTGAGCTATTTTAACAAATGAAAAAAAGCATTCAACTTTCAATTTTCAAAAGTCTTATTCTAATATTTTATCCTGATTTATTAAAAATGTTGAAAGTACAATATAAATACTACACTAGCAATCTGTGAAAATATTAATATTTGTATTACAACTGAAGGTTGAAATGAAGAAAAACATCAAATAGTGTTCTTATACGTGTTAAGATTATTATTTTAATAACCTACCACAGCACATCAATATACAATTGGAATGTATTGCTATATATTGCTAGACTGGAGAAATTCCCTAAAGAAATCCCAATAATAGTGGTCACTGCTTGCAACCTAAGGGATGCAGACCCCTTGAAACCAAAGCTCTCTGTGTAGTGGAACACAGGGTATCACAGGAAGAGGTGAAACCCAGAAGCACAGGAGGATGAAGATGTCTCCCCAAGCAGAAATAGGGTCCTTACACCTTCCTCAAACGCCACGGAGCAAGGTTAATTCAGCTTTGCTACATTTACATAAGGGAAATACAAATACCATGCAAGTATCCGTTTATGAGAACAACTGTCACTTGAGGTTAATTTTAGTATGAGCAAAGCAAAGAAGGAAGTGCCACAGTGGCAGGTCCTGCACACTGCCCCTTAGCCAGCCACAAGGGCCAGGTAGCACGAGTTCCACCTTCCGGAATCAGCCGGCTTCTGTTATCCACAGAAATCATTCATTGCCTTGAGAGCCCACTTTTATCAGCATTGCTTACGATTTTTAGGGACTGTCTATAAAATGTATGTTGGGATGGGCAATTTATAAAAGTCTATCTTAAATGTCTTGTATTCCAGGACCTGAATAGTGTCAATTCAAGATGTTTGTGCATTAAATTTTTAAAAAATATTTCTATCAGTTTGTTCTAAGCCCCACGAACTCTTGTGGGCCACATGAACTTTTTTACTGCTACCTTCTCAAGTAAATTATGACAAACACCAGCATTTTCAGGAAGCTCATTCCCTTGCAATCCCATGTCAAGATGCACATGCCCCATTTGGTTTACTACGTTAACAGTCGCGGTTCTCTCACATTATCTCTGAAACGAAGTGACACTCAATCTCAAAAGCAGAACTGAGCTGCCATGGCTGCTCCTGTTGAGTGACCATGGCTCTGCAGACGCTGGCCAAGTGTCCATCCTGGGCTCCCTGAAGCACACTGGAGTGCATCCCACAGACCCCCATGAATGCCTCAGCTAGAAAACCAAACTCAGACCCTGGCCCCGTGCACTGAGCAAGCTTTCTATGCAGTGTAAGTTTCCTACTTTCTAAAATCGTGGTGATACAACTCAAAGAAAGAGTCATGAGGGGATGACTTATTGGAATAGTCTCTGGTGCAATTCAACGAGAGCTCAATGTTCCTCCTCATCCTGCTGAATCTCTGCACCAGCTCCACTGTAAATTGAGACATTTCTATCCTGACTATGCAATGATTAAAAGCTGAGAGACTAATGATTTTGCCAGCTTTCCACAAAAAAAAAAAGAATCATTTTCAACTGTAGAAAATAACAAACTCAAAACCCAGCAGGGGCCTTCCTTGGAAGTTTTTTGATGTAGTGAGACATTTTTCCTATGACTGAATTACGAGTGACAGGGGTGTTTTTTTCTCATTTGCCGTTATTCAAAACTTGTTGACCGTAGCCGCATACCAATGTGAACTGGAAGAGCCCCTCTCTACCCCGTCTGGCACACTGCACAGTGACATCCCTTCTTCTCTCCTCCCGCTCCCAGGTCCTTGTTTGACAGATGCCCACATTCGTGACATTTAAAGCTCCTTGGAGGCTGTCAGGTAAAATCATGTGTGCTATACACTAACAGTCGTCAGAACATCTCAGAAATATGGCTAGCTCGCATGGAACTGCATGTGGGGTGAGGCAAGCCCTGCTGTCCCTCCTCAGGGAAGTTTAGGAGATCCTACAGCTAATGTAAGTCCCAGCTACTTGCGCCCCACCTCTCGTGATAGCTGTCACTCTGTGAGCCTCGATCCTGCTGGCTCCATCACCCACCGAGAGCCTTGTCTTCTGCAGACATGTCTAGAGTCTTCCTCGAGGACACCGGTGTGGGATGACACACTATAAATTCTCAAGCAGAAATGCGTGCACTAACTGGTATTGTATCCCAACAAGTATTGTGTCCAAGACTTTTTGCTCTGCCTGTATTAATGTTTATCAAAGTCAGGATGGCCTTTGAGGCACTAGTCATGATTCAAACTTTGTCCAGTTGGACATGGAGTAAAACATTCATTTTTTCAATTTCCAAAGTCTATACAGGGACGGTGTTGATGGCAACTCAAGAATGATAAGTACCTATGTAACCACCTGTTTTATACACGAGAACTGGAATTTTATGTGATTCAGACTTATCTATGTAATGATGTGGAAATGTAGGTTTACCATTATTCCAATTTTAAAGAACAAATTTTTCTGGGTGCAGTAATACATGCTTATAATCCCGGTGGCTCAGAAGGCTGAGGCAGGAGGATTGCAAGTTCAAGCAACTTAGCGAGCCTCTAATTGTTCCAAAATAATATAGTAAAAGTGCTGGGTTATGGTTCAGTTATTAACCACCACTGAGTTCAATCCCTGTTATCAAGAAAGAAAGAAAGAAAGAAAGAAAGAAAGAAAGAAAGAAAGAAAGAAAGAAAGAAAGAAAGAGAAAAAACAGAGAGAGAGAGAACAAAATTTTGATTTTTTCCCCCTATCCCCTTCTAATAAACACCTTGAGTTACTACCAATCAGAGCTCTAAATTAGTACTTTTAAATAGATCTTTTCATTTTTTTAGGATATGAATAATCTAAATTACAATTATTTTCTGTTAAATTTTTTGTTAGTTTTGGCCTCATTTTCAGAATGTTGGGGCAATTTTACTCAGTAAACATCATATAAATCAAATATGTTAGACAAATGTTACAGTTAGAGAATATTACTTGCAAATTACTAATGAGATGGAAGACAATGTATAAATATGAAGACATTATAAAATTTTACAATGTTTTTGCTGTTTTTTCACCTCTTTTAAAACAGTATACACCCAATAACCTGGTAGGACCCCAGTCAGTGAGCCAGATATGGGTGGAAAGCCCCAGCTGCTAACTCATGCCCTAGTGAAACTGGTAATTACAGAAAGCACAGAAATTTTGCCTTTAAAATTAATTATAGTTAGAAGAAAAACTAGCAAAAAACTCACAAATATTTTAAATGTTGTTTCTGGATGTTGTTTTTTTTTTGTTTGTTTGTTTTTTGTATTCCTACATTATAAAATATTCCCAAAACTCAGTGACAAAAACATTACTGCTGTCAGGTGCATGTCATTCATTGGGTCAGACAGAGCTGTACTTCGTCATGGAGTGAAGAAATAAAACTATGGTCATTTAGATCCCAGGTTTTTTTCCATTAAAAAGTGTTTTAAGAGTGATCATTTTGTTTTTTGGCTAATTTTTCATTTCAATAGATAATTTAATATTAATCCAATTCTATTTATGTTCATGAATGACAACATATTTATTTAGGTGCATTTATACATTGTCTTCCATCTCATGTGCATAGGATGAAATACAAATCTTACAAACAGCAACTAAGTTTTTAAAAACTTGAAATGAAAATACACAAATTCTTCAAGATAGTTTGTTGACATTTACTTATTCAGAACACTTGATAGTTATTGGACAAGTGGGGGAACCACAAAGAGATACTTGAAAAGATAAAGAAATTCCACTTTATTACACTGTGACAAATATTAAGAAATAATTAATTTGTATTTATAAATAAAATGTTTGTTCAATAAATTATTTGTTTAATAAACATAATTCCTAAATAAATATGTCACTGTTATCATCACATGAGTGCTATGTAATAAAAGTGACAATTATATACTATAGAAACCTTCAATATTGTGGAATTGTAATTCTGAAAATACCTTAGATAGAAAAATAAAACATGAAATCAAGCTCACCCTAACATAGCAACGCACTCCACAAATGACAACATATTTATTTAGGTGCTGATGTGATAAGGATAATAAAGTATTGTACTGAAGTAAGTATAAAGTGTCATCTTTTGTAAGTCATTGATTTCTAGAAAAGGTGTCACCTTTGTTTTTAAATTGGTTCTCCACGTAGGGGAAGAACACTTAGAAAAGTGGCTATTTTAAACATAGTCCTAACATGGTCTTTCAGAATATATAGGGAGTATGGATGGAATTCCTTGCAGTGGGCTTTTGTCTTTACTTTCTCCTTTTGATTGTTTGGGAACCAGGAGCATCATTAGCATGAGGAGAACATAAGTACTTAAAGCCTCTTCAAGTTGGTAGCTAACTCGTCAACCAATGAGTAAACATGATGTCATTCAACCTGCAGCTGGTCCATACTGTCCTAAGAGGTCTAGTTTAATGGCTATCTAGCAGCAAAGGTGCAGGGCTAACATGAAGCTACTTACCATTCCTGCTCTCCGGGCGATCACAGTGTGAAAGTGTCCGTCTGACACCTTCTTCATGGTGGTGAGTTTATATGTACCGCTGCCTAAATTATAGGAAAATCTTAGCCTTTCTTCAGCAATTTCCAGGGCCAGAAACTCAGCCCGGTCCCCTGTCTGGTTGTCATAGTTGTAAAGCAATAAAGCATGACTTTTGATAGTTGCAAACTTGACATAAATGTAGTTGTTATTGGGGTCCAAGCTGGGAAATTCCATATACGACAATTCCTCAAATCCATAACTGTTCAACTCACAGTGTTTTCCAAAGACACCTGGAAGTGGGAAAATTGAAAAATTAATGTAACAAATTCCAGTGAAGTTTAATCAAATTATTTAATTATAATATTTTAAGTTATAACGATGAATCATGCTTTTAAAGGTTTTTTTTTTTTTTTAAATTACTGCCCAAAGAATACAGTAAACACTAACATTGAAGCAGAACCGGTGATGATCTTTAAAGGCCACAACTATGACAAGTCGAGAACATTGTTTTCTCTTTGACACATTGGGGAACAGGTGGAAGTTTGCCTCCTTTGTAAAATTCTGGGACTTAGAGGAAAGGAACACATCCAGAGAGCTTCCTCCTGGGAAATCTTTCAGAAGCACTTTGTTGATCTTTGTAAGATTTTGCTTTATAAATTATAATTTTCAATCCAGTTACTTTCTTCACAACATTTAATTCTTAAACCAACTTCAATTAAATTGAGGATGACAATAAACTCATTCATTTTGACTTGAAAACAAACAAAAACCTATTCTATACTTAGAATATTTTTAAGGGTCACAAAATGAGGGAAAGGAGCCGCAGCTCCTAGGGAAGGAAATAACTGTCTTAGTTCTTATCTCTTTCTTGTTTCATACCCTCTTGGAGAAGATTTACAGCATGCTACTTTAAAATAACTTTCTGTTTTTTTCTGAAATTCAGCATTTCCATTAGTTTGTGCAGTACGTTTTCCAACTTGAAAAAAAAGAGTTTTATTAAAGTTACAAGGCCACGCCAAAATTCTTTTCCCACAAATATTAGTAGACTGTGGCAAACAATTGGAAAATTAATCTGTGCCAATGCATCATGGCTCTGACAAACGTTCAAAGGTTTCATTCCTTCATTTTGGCTTCATATCTCCATAAATGCATTCAATTTTGAATCAGGGAATTGTTAGCTTGAGGAACCAATGCCATTATTTTACAGAGCATTTAACATTTGCCCAAGGGGACAGACCATGGGAAACACAGACAAAACCTGAAGCCAGATCTACTCATCTAGTTTAGCTGTTTTGACTATATCACATTTGATATCCAAACATTCTTCAAGTTAAATACCCCAGAGCTGCTATGAAAGCTGGTGTCCCTTATCCTGTCTTTCTCTGTCCAGACTTAGATAATATACATTATAAACAAGTAGGAAGTATATATAATTTGTTATTTCAAATCTTTAACTGAAGCTGAAGAAAAGGCAAAGGAATTATAGGAATGATACATATCATTTGTAATACATGTTACATATAGTAGACATTTATTTTATACATTATGAATTTATTTTATTTATTATAAGTAATTGTTATATATTTATATGCAATGAATGATTATTATTTTTATTAATTGGATATTGTTACATCATATGTATATTATTTCTATACACAGAAAGAGTAACTGATGTGGTCAAAGATCAAAGAAAAAGCATGCAAATTAAATAGAAGATGACTGTGGAAATGTTTGCACTGTGTTCTAAGTCTTTTCTGATTAAATTTTAATTAATTCATAAAAGTTTATATATGAATATAAATATATGCAGAAATTATATAGGTACTGGAAAGATGTTTTACATCTTTATTCAAATCAATATTGTATTTTCAAACATGAAAATATTTATGGATTTTCTTTTTGGTGGCTTTATTTTTTTTACAGAAAAATAACATTCGGCTTTTAAATGTGGTAATAAAATTTAATGAGGTCTTTAACTTGTGTTTCTTGTGGAATGTCATGCAATAAGTCTAGATGGAGGTCAAGAGAAATGAAAATTACTCTAATATGAATATACACACACAATAGCTCTCATTAGAATAACTTATATACATGACATTTAGTAATGATATATAATGCACATTTATACACACAGATATATATGTGTATATGTACAGTATATATGAAAATGATGTAAACACATCATTTCTTAAGAGAGCAAGAATTATGTGAGATACTGCATGTATACCTTATATATGTAGTTATGGCATATGTGCATCTGTATAATATATATTACATACACAATAATGAAGCAATTCTAAGAAGTGGTAATTATGCAGTTTAAGCTGTCTTGGTATCTGAAGTACTTTTTCTTTTTCCTAAAACACAATCTAATATTAATATATATATATATATATATATATATATATATGAATCTAAAAATTGTTTTCGAAAATGTAAACAGCAAATCTTTCCTGATGAGAAGGTAGACAGTGAAATGTTTTTTCCAACTTCAAGATCACACCTAACCTGATGTTTTACAGGATGCATGTGGAGCCACCTCCAGGGACTTGTTGGAGGCATTCCAACTGCCATTTTTATTTGTCTATTTCACCCACATTTTCTTGAGAAGGAAAACACTCTTCTCCTTTGAATTCATTTTTTTTTTTTTTTTTGGAATCTCAAATTTACTTATTGGTGGTTTGTTTCATTTTGTTTTCTTGTATAAGTGCTTATGTTGTCCGCTGACAATGTCTATATTTAAGTGTGAAGGTCCCTTTGGATCCCACAGCACGTTACCCCACAGGCAGTAAGGGCAAGGACCCACAGCAGCAATTTGTTCCTGTTTGGAACCAACTGTCTCAGATCCTCAGATCAGGATGTAAAGGACTTCCTGTATGTGTAAACGCCTCTGTTCAGCCACTGAAAATCACTGTCCCCTTTCCACTCCAATGCCTTTTCCTTTGTCTTTCATTGCAGTGAACATGAAATCTGACTGTTGCTATCTAAAGAAAGGAGCACCATGCGGGAAGCTAAGACCACTGCAGGAGGCCAGGTTCAAAGCCCAGCATGAGAGAGAGAGAGAGGGGGGGGGGCACTATTGAAAGAAATAAAGGAGTTTTCAGGAGGCCTAAAGTCTTGGTCACTTCGACCTTGATACACCCTTTTACTAATTCGTAAGTATCACTGGGAGCATCAGGAATCTGAGAGAAAGTTTGTAAATCAATAGATCTGGCTTCAGGTTTCCTCTGTGTTTCCAGAAATATTATTTGTGTTCTCGTCAGGATGCCACCTTGGGGCAGTTGTACCTCAGTATCAGTGTTCTGATTTGGGGCCAGTGACTCAATTTCTGGGCTGCAGAGTCACTGGTGAAATGCATGGCTCATAATTAAGTTTTTATATTTTGCTTCTCTTTATCACTCTTTTAATGTTGTCCTTGATTAAAAAGAAAGTAGATAGACTTATGGAACAATATAGTTTACTGGTTACTAGAAACTGTAGTTCCATTCTTTTTTATAAATTGGGCTTCACCTGTTACATCCATTTAGTCTCATAAAGTGTACAAGGAAAGACCAGAAAAATATTTTTTGTCTCTTACATAAGGAAAGACAATAATCTGGAGATGGAGTCTATGTTATAAGACAAAGTAGCCTTTAAATAAATGAAATAATCACAAACTTATGGAATTAAGTTAACGTAAAGACTTCCTCCAGAGCTATTCTCACTGTCTGGGCTGAGCCGGTGCTGTGAAACATGAAGGTGACCCTGGAAGGAATCCACTCCTTCATCCCTCCACTAAGGAGAGTAAATGAGTACATGTGCAAAGACTTCTTCTTACCAACTTTCTTCCAGAAGAGACCACATTGGTTTGAATTTAGTTGTTCAGTATTATCCACAAAACATCTAGCATGAGAACTGCATTTCTAGCTACTAAATCCTTCTAACAGAAGTAACTAAATTAATGCAAAAGAAAAAAAATTAAAACAAGAAAAAACACATTTTGACTGTCCTTAGAGTTTTGAAATTAAAAATGATGTCAAATAGTAGCATGGAAATGGAAGGCGATCCTCAGGGTTATACATAAGGACATATAAGAGGAAAGGAGGGGTAAGACAAGATAATACAAATCGAAGAAATGATTTACAGTAGAAGGGGTAGAGAGAGAAAAGGGGAGGGGAGGGGAGGGGAGGGGGGGGGGGATAGTAGAGAATAGGACAGACAGCAGAATACATCAGACACTAGAAAGGCAATTTGTCAATCAATGGAAGGGTAACTGATGTGATTCAGCAATCTGTATATGGGGTATAATTGGGAGTTCATAACCCACTTGAATCAAATTGTGAAATATGATGTATTAAGAACTATGTAATGTTTTGAACGACCAACAATAAAAAAAAAAAGAATTTTTCACTTAAAAAAATCTAGGCTAACAGGACAGCATCATATATATTTACAAAATGCTCTGGGGAGGCAACACTGATCAAGGATTTCCACAGTTAATTTTTAAGTGTTAAAACTTTAAGATTTTATTTTACTATAACTTGTTCAAAACAATGTTTTCTTAATCACTCATAACCATAGTAAGACAAAATTGCTAAACTTTGTGCTAAAATAGACCGATACCTGATATAAATTATACTCACCAAATGGACAATGGCAATAATAGGAATCCACTCCACTTTGGCAGGAGCCACCGTTAAAACAGGGACTGCATTCACAGTAGTTGACTGATGATTCACACATTTTTCCTAAAATGGACCAAACTCGGTAAGAGAAATCTTACACATGCATATGTTAACAGCACTAAAAGATAACTGTATATAACAATCTATCCTGAAAAACAAAATCTGACACTTGACTATTTTAATAGCACTATAGTATAATTGTAAATAAAAAAAATCTATCCTGAGAAACCATATCTGGAAGAAAAAGAGGAGCATTTCACCTGACATGAGGATACTGAGATGGGGACTTAGGGTTCAAAATCTTATTTAGCTGACTTATTGTAAAGATGTGCATTATAATATTTAGAAAATAATTCACATAATCAACTTAGGGAAAAATCCGTTTTCAGCAAAACAACATAGTGAACACAGAAATGCTTCTGCTGAATCGATTTTCTTTCTAGACCTCCCTCATCTTTCTCATTTTATAGATGGAGAGTTGAAACATAGACAGTATTCTTTTCATTCTGAAGATCCCTTGACTCACATTTGTCAAAGGCAAGAATCGATCTCATTTAGCTTGTCAAGTTAGGAATTAATCTTATCCACTCTCAAGAAACATCCCTGGACTTTACAGAACTTTTGTGAAGGAGAAAACTAAGAAAACACCTCAAACACATTTGGAAATACTTATTAATATTCCTGACTAGAATATGTACACTTTGTATTTTTTTCTGAAACAATAACACCTCAGCAACATGCTTTTCAGTGTACAAAGACTTTCTCCTACTCTCTTGTTAAATCAGATCAATCAGTATTGACTGAGTGCTTTTTATCCACAGCATGATAGTGAACGGAGAAGTCACAGTGAAGAAAGCAAAGGAGCCCGTGGTGTTTCCATCCCAAAGTGGGGTCCAGCCACACAAAAGAAACAGGGACACTTAAATGTGATGGTGATAAAGCCCTGAGAGGCTCACACCTTGCCCAAGAAGTTGTACATCTCTGCTTCCATACTTAGGTTGTCCAAGCTGTGATTGAATATTTTATCACTTGGCAAATAAAACTGATAGTGGAAGTCCTATTAGATTTTTGTTGTTGTTTCTTTTAAAATATAAACTGAAATGTGTTCTAATACCAGCGTCCTTGACTTTGAATTATTTAATATGTTAATATACTCATCGGAATCGTCTCTAGATTCCCAATTTCAAAAACCAGAGAGGAGTTACAGTTTTTAGTTAATTCCCCTTGGTTAACAGGGATTCAGTTACCACTGTTGATTTCTGTGAAGCTCTTTTCTACTTCCAAACATGATTTCGTCCGCTGATGCTTATTTTGTATTCCTCATGAAGTTACATATACTTTCTCTGTACATCTAGACTTAGTATTGAGCATAGATGATGGATTTCATCATAAGAGCTTCAGTGAAAACAGAGTCAAAGCTTTTGTTTAACTTAGTTTTGCATTTGTGGCTTGATTATGTAGCCACAGTTGTTCTGGTCTGAAATTACATATGAGTCAGACCTCATGACACTGCTAACTAAGCCCATTTCTGTACATCACAGAATCAGAAACACAACATTTTTTCCTTTATAAATATAATCGGTAGCCTCCTTACAAGGCAAAACACTGAGCTAAAAAAATTTCAAAATACTTTTCTATTCTAAGGAGAGAACATAAGAATAAACAAGTGCTAATTTAGAGGCACACAAATTAGGTCTTAAGTACTGCAGCCGTGCTGCAATAAAGTGTCAGGCCAGGCGACTTTACCATAAGTGTATGCACAATTCCACACACACTAGGGGCTGTTTTATAGCAGATCCCCTCCTCTGGTGTCTCCCAACTGGATGTGCTATGGGCCATTTTAGAGATACGCACTTTTCTTTTCTTAATACAACACCATTGTTGCCCAATAGAAAATAAATAAATAAGACCTGCTGACTGAACTTTTTACTATGAGTTTGCCATCAAGAAAGTCACAACCCACTCCTTCCTTTTTTTTCTCTCACTTTAAAAATGTACATAATTTTCACATATGCAACTGGAATAAGTACAGTTTTACCTTCTATTTTCCCCTTGTTTTCCTCAAAACTTCTTCCAGAGGGGTTTTAAAAGCAATGTTATACACAGAGATTCATATATCTCATGGCATATTCAAGATGACCTTCGTATCATGGCCATTGGTGAATTTCACAATTTCCAACTTCACTTCCCACAGACTGGCAATGGGAAGCCAAGGTCAGCCACTTAGGGGTGGACTGCCACGTGTGTGGAGTCCAGTGCTTGGGCGCCTGTGCTGTCTGAGTAAAAGAGGGTGGAAACCCAAGGCACACCTCCTGTGGAGATCCACTCTTTTTTGAATCCTGTTGGAAATACTATCATTTAAATTTTTAATTTAAATAACAGCAAAATAAATTTAGGTGGTTTTGTGTGTAATTATCTGAATTAACTATCTTATTTACTCCTTACAATGTGATATTTTATAGATAGAAGTTCAATATAAACATATACTATAGGTTATTGAAGTTAGTTCAAAACTTATCTTGAAATAAATAAGACTTACTCATGTGTTAAAAAAAATCCAGTGACTTTAAAAGTAACAAAAGAAGTTATAAACTAAGAAAATATTAGCTTTGAGAACAAATTTCTTTTAACACTCAAATTCTCAATGGAATCTGATTTTTCAAATACATGATAGACATAGAAATTGTCGCAAGAAAACAAATTCAGCCTTTTATTTATCATTTCAGAAGAGTTTTAAAATTTTTTTCTTAGAAGATAATTGTCAAAACCAAAATGTGTTATTAGAGGCTAAAGAGAGGAAAATGTTGTTGAGTTCAGAAAACAGTCTTATTTGTTGGTGTTAGAGTATGCAAATCATTTACCATTCAAAGACTTATTTTGAGTTCTCCATTTAATGAGTAAAAATTATTCTACAATTCATGATATCAAAGAGTTTGCCATGCTTGATATTTAGATTCAAAGTCACAATTTGAACGTGTAATGTTTTAATTTAAATTGTTATTAAAAGAAAATTTTTTCTTTTGAGAAAAGTATATTCTAATTTTACTCAGAATGAAAAGAAAGCCTCTAACTGCATATTTCTCAGGTTTGGAATTTTCATTCCCTATTACCCAACTAGAAATCAACAGCAAATTCTGTCTTGTTCTGCAGAGGCCTGTCTACTAAAATTGCTGCACTCACAGCCTAACTATGTGGGCAGAATGCAGCAGTTGGAATCCCTCTTCATGCTCCTGGTACAATAGTCTGCAGGTTGCAGCACTGGGAAACACATTCTGGAATCATTAAGTCAATTAGAGCTACAGGTCAATTAACAGTACTTGTCAGTGCCTTGAGGCCTGAAGTTTACTGATAGCAACATAGACCTACTGGCCTCACGAAAGCAAGGAGCTTTTTTTCCGTTACAATATGTTTACTGTCATAGTAGCTGTTTAGAAGAATGAACTAGTCTCCGGGCTTCACCATTCATCAATTGGCATGGATACTACACTGCTTGGCATGGATAGCAGAAGAGGGCCTTAGCAGAAACTATCAAAGTCCATTTTACATCTAATTACTTTATTCACAAACATGATTCTATAGCAGATTTGTGCAAGTCATTCTGAATATTTATGTGTATTAACTTTTAAAGAGATTTTAGCAGAAAGCAGTTATTTTTGCATAATCTGCAAACATTTCTCCTTATTGTAAAAGGCATTATATCAAGATAGTTCATCCAAATGTCCTAACTGATACTGTTATGGTTTTTACATCAAAATAAAAGCCATGGTCTCCCATGTTTGAATAAGGGTTTCCAGTAACAAAAGCAAAAACAAAACGTTCATTTTACCTTTGTACTTAAAAGCATACCCAAGGAGCCTATAGATAACCACATGGTATTCATGAGAAGCTTACGTATAAACACGTGCTTATTTTCTGCAGAAGTATGAGGTGCTTCATCTACTGGAACCTAAGACATGGATGCCCTAATAAGGCAACATGTCACCCAAGTGAGCTGCCTAATCTCACTCCTGGAGATAAAACCCAAACAAAACCTGAGCTTTTATCCTCCTACAGGAGCCATTCTTCTGTATTTCAAAGAAAGTTTCACATCTATTCACTAAGGGGCTTTTACATTCTATGGTTTTCCCTTCATACGATCATCAGTGATATTCATATGATTGTAGTAATTTCACAATGACTCTTAGTTTCTCTTTCCATCTTTATGAAAGCAAATATTTGTCAAGTTTCTCAAGAAAATTACTGTACAACAGTCCGTGTATACCATTTTACATCTGCAAATATTACTATTTATATTGTCCAATGGTGTAAAATTGCTGAGTGCATAAATCCTACCCTGCCCTGGAACCCTAGGGCTTCCCTGAGGGCACAGGAAAGCTTCCTTTGGTATTACACCCCTGGCGTGGTTCCAAATACCACACCCAAACCGCATCCAGAGGTGTGAGTGATGGGAAGGCAGGACTATGAACTAAGGATGTCACAAGAGGCTGGGTTTAGAAGTGCTCTCTACACCACACACCTTGGGAGAGAAGGACCAGGCATGCTGGGAGCCAGAAAGCTAGGAGCAGGAAAGCACGGCTGTGAYGGTGCTTTCTAATCTCAAGAATTGCCCTTTGCAGAGGAAAAGAAATAATGAACTTGAAGTTAGACTAGTGTCTTCCTCCAGGATCTCAGGGAACTCTCAGGTGTGGATACTATGAAGATATTTTCTTTTGATTTACTGAGGTAATTATATGACAATCAATGTAATTTGGGGTATTTTCCAATGTTTGAAAATCTATGATTTACTTTTTTTACATGCTTTCTACTATAATAAACTTTATTCATCTTTCTAATGCCCTATGTTGCCATTAACCAAAAATCCACTTAGTGGTATGAAAGTTAAATTCCAAGATAATTTTCTTTATGACAAAACATAAAGGAATCATAAAGTGAATATGTTACAATCTCACTATTTTTCAGAATAAGTGAAACCTCAGACATGTTTAATCCCTCCAAATACTTATTTATTACTATATACTAATTCATATTTATTACCTGCATAGCCTACTGACTGCACTGGAAAATAAACTTTGAAAAAATGAAGACTTGAGGAACACACTTGTGTCAATGTGTCTGTGACGACACGAATCTTATTGGTTCCATGATTTTCACTTTAAGCCTTCCACCCTCTCAGGACGCCTCACACAGCATCCAGCTCACACGGGGCCCTCTCTTTGGGGGTTCTTGGCACAAAGACTCTCCATCACGTCACTTCATGAGCCTCAAGCTCTTCCAGTCTCTTGCACAATTTCTAATACCACCCAGAATATGCACGTGCACACATGTGTGGATGCCTGTTTGTATGTATGTGTGAGACAGAGGAGCTCTGATTTGTAATTAATTCTAGGGACTGTAAAAATCATAAACGCAGGTGGAAGTCCACAATAGTAAACAGTATGGGAAGGTAGTTGATTTGAAATAATTCCGATAGCCAAAAATATATGTGAACACACACAGCCTCCAACAAGCAAGGCTTTATCCAGGCACTAGCTCTTAATTAGCATGGACAGAGATCAGCCTGCTGTGTCTTCCAGGCAGCAAAGCCACTTCCCTGCTCCCTGTGGACACAAGGTGCATCACACCACCTTCATCCTTGGACTAAACGTGCTCTCACTCTAAATCTAAGTGTGTTAGTGCCCTAGATTACAGTAGGATGAAGAAGCCTTAAAGACTGCTGCCTAATTCTCAGCCCAGGAAGTCATCCTGGGGGCAGGAAAGAGAAAGAAGAGTTTGCTAGACATCCTGAACGCAGTGCATGTGCACGGCACCATGACCCGTGGTCCTGAAGACAAACTGCAACCTGCTTTGTGCTCCTGGGACCTCGGGTCTCTGGAATCCCAGGGCACACCCCCTGATCACCACTACTGCACCAAGCCAACTGGCACTGCTGCCCACTGGATGCTGGGCATGGGACTAGGTCAGCAAGCACCCTGTTTCCTCACTAGAACAACCCAAGCCTAGATGACTACTTCCACTTTACAGATGGGGAAATCCAGGGAGGCCTCTCCAAAGCTGTGCCAAGTCAGATCCTATCACATCTCCTGTCCTTTCCATACACATGCTTGCCGTCTCTTCTTCATATATATTCCAAGTACAATGCTTTGCTAAAAGGCAACTAAAAGGCAAATCCTGTATGTTCTATTTCAGTGTTTTCCAACAGGCTTTACATCATCATCAAGAAACTTAGTTTTCCAAATAAAAAACCATAAGTATGCACAGGGTGGGCACTTTGAAAAATATGATATCCACATGTGTTTCTTAAAAATCTCTTAAACATTTTATTCATCTAAACATCTACAAACTTGTTTTAAGACCTATGTTGGTTTCATCTATTATTTGTGTCTTGATAAGCATTTCAGAGTCATCTACGTATGTCCTAACTCTGTATGATGTGCAAATTGTAGGTATTTTATTCTCCTGAAACTTATCAGCAGCATAACATTCATTCACTTTTGAAGAAATTCCAACTACTGATCAGCTAATAGATGGAAGAGAGATAATAATGTGCTAGAAATAGATGGCTAGATAGATAGATGGCCACATGGAGAGACAGATGGACAGAGGGTAGATGGATGGATGGATGGATGGATAGACAGACAGACAAATAGACAGATGGCTAGAAAGATGGATGCTTAGATACCTTTAAGGAAGATGGAACCACCTTGAAGTGAATATTATTCTCCAAGAAGTGGATAAAAGATGGAGTCAGAAACCAGGGAGAGTTAAACTTGAGCACAGTGGAATGTCATATGATCACTTATGGTTAGCCAGCAGGGGTCTTACCATGTGCCTTTCCTCCTACCAGGTGCTTAAAAGGAGTTGAACAAATCTGCTCCTTAATGTCTAATATGACTTCTAAACATGAAGCTCCAGTGTGGTCTCTTTCTCTTTTGGCTCACCTGAGAAGTCAGCCAATTATGTTTTGTACTGGATTACTGGAAATAATAAGCCATTTTAATTTTAAACTTAATCTTTTTTTAAAAAAAACATGGCTTTTGCTGTATTCTCACAGTGTGGATCACATTCAATAATAAATATGATAATGATTTTAAAAGGTCATAAAATAATAAACCATAATTGTTAACAATTATTTAGGGAAGGAAATGCCCCAGGTCTTATGGTTTATATATACTTTTTCCTTTACAATTTATGACACTCTTTTAGGAAGATACTTTCTTTCCATTCTTGTAAGAGACACTGGGCAAGAATTAAGCACCAGAATTCACTGTGTAGAGTTGACGCTGCTACAAATTAACTGGATCACCTTCAAAAACTCACTTAAGTTTTCTCTTCTTTGACTTTCCTATCTGAAAAAATTGGGAAATATCTCTGCATTCTAGGTTTTCTTGCAAGAAATAAACAAAATGTACACAAAGTGCTTAGAACAGAGTCTGACAAATAGCAAAAACTTACAAATGCTTGTTGGGATCATGTTCATTTTTATGAAGAGACATTGAAAATGACAAGATCCGTAACGTGTAACGTTCTGTTATACATGACATGGCTGAAATCTTTGGGAGACGCGTAGTAAAACGCTGTCCTACCTGTGTATCCAGTTTTGCAGACACAGTTGAAACCCCCTGGGAAGTTCTGGCAGACGGCCCCGTTCTTGCAAGGACTGGGGAGGCACTCGTTGATGTCCCTCTCACAGGCCCTCCCAGTGAAGCCTTCCGGGCAGCTGCACGAGAACCCCCCCACCAGGTTGTGACAGGTGCCACCGTTGTGGCAAGGGGCTGGGAGGCACTCATCCACGTCCACCTCACACCAGCTGCCGGTGTATCCGGGCAGACACCTGCAGAGGAAGGGCTGTAGAGGCTCGTTGGCCACCAAGATGACCGGCAGGCTCTCCTGGCTCCTGAGCACTGGGCTCACAGCCAGTCTTCTCAGGCAGCTCCCTCCATTCTGGCAGGGACCATGACCGCAGGGGTCATGGTCCACAGATTCCACCTTCACTCCACTCTGCCGAAACAGGATCTCTTTGATGCTCTCAAAGAAGGTGGCGACGCCACTGGGATTCACATACTGATTAGCACTTCGCTTCACAGCTGCCAAAAGGAACGTTCTGTTGTTGTCCTCGTAGGCCCCGTAGAGCTGCACAGCTGTCCCCAGGCCCGTCAGCTGTGAGCTGGCGATGCGCAGGAAGTGAAGGTAGTGGTTGGTCAAGAAGTCTTTCACCGACGGCACGCCCACGCAAAGCAAGATGCTGTTGTCCACGGTGGCATTGGAGAATCCTGCAAAGAAGACGCGGATGCTGCTCGTGACTGCGCTGTGAACACCGTCACTGCTAAGGACGGTCAGGTCGAACGTGCCATCTGTGGACCTGGGCTGGGAACTCAGGTCGCAAGTGCCCGCAGGGATGCTGAAGAGGCTGGTAACCCCAGCCGTGAGGGAACAGTGGAAGCTGTCCAGCACATCGGGGTCCTGGGGCTTCACCGAGCCCAAGACACCCCCAGGAAACAGATTGCCATAGTAATTAACAAATATCTCCACCGTGCGAGACTGGGAAGGGTTGTCGTTTTGGTCTATGACTGTGATGTGCACAGTGCCTGTGGAAGACATCTGAGGAACCCCGGAGTCCCTGGTCACCACCGACAGGTAGAAGTCGGCAATCTGCTCCCTGTCGATCTCTCGGGTGGTGCTCAGAACCCCCGCCGTGTTGAGACTGAAGTAGTTGGTGGGCGGACCTGTGCTGAGCAGGTAGTAGGTAAAAGGGCCCTGATTGGGAGGGAGGTCGGGGTCCGTGGACTGCAGGGTCATCACCAGGGTGCCGGGGCGTTTGTTTTCCATCACCTCTCCCTCACGGAGGGTCAGCACGGGCCCATTATCGTTTATGTCTTCCAGCGTGACTAGCAAGGAGGCGCTTCCCGTGGCCGAGGGAGTCCCTGAGTCGACAGCCAGAACCGTGAGGTTGTAGACAGGCAGGGACTCCCGGTCCAGCTCCGCAGTGACCGTGATCTGTCCCGTCTGTGGATTAATGGAAAAGGCACCGTTTTCATTCCCTGAGCCGATGAAGTAAGAAAACCGGCTCCAGCTGGGGATGGAGTCGGAGTCAAAGGCACTGACAAAGGTCACGTGAGTCCCTATGGGCACCCCTTCGCTGACCTGGACGCGGTAGGTGCTTAAGCTAAACACGGGAGGGTCGTTGGCATCCAGCACGGTCACGTTCACGGTGACCTCATCTATGTCTGCACCCCTAATGCTGCCAAAATTCTTGGCCAGTACCTTTAGGGACACCCGCTCTTCCTTTTCTCTATCCAGAAGTCCAGAGACATAAATCTGCCCGGTCCTCTGATTGATCTGAAAACCTTTCTTCTGACTGTTACCAAAAATTAAGTAATGCACCTCCCCATCAGTGCCCATGTCCCGGTCACTGGCAAACACTTCTCCCACAACAGTGCCCTTCGGAGCTGCTTCTGAGATTTCAAAGTAGTAAACCTTGGAAACAAAGCGTGGCACGTATTCATTTGTCCCCTTCAGGTGGACGTTGACGGTGGCGAAGCTGCACCTTTCTTCATCTGGGACGTTGAAGGCTTTGACGGTGAGGTGGTAGCTCTGCTTGGTTTCAAAATCCAAGAAGCCCTGAGTGGTGATGACCCCCGTGTTGGGGTCGATGACAAAGAGGTCACTATCCGAGGACTGCACGGTGTACGCCACCACAGCATTGGCCCCGGAGTCTGCGTCTGTGGCGTTGAGGTGGATGACTGTGGTCCCACTCGGAGCGTTCTCGAGAACGGTGGGGAAGTATTCATCAGGAGCAAACACTGGAGAGTTGTCGTTCACGTCAATCACATTGACAGTCACACTGCAGTACCCGGTTCTCGCCACCCAGCCCCCGTCGGTAGCACTGATGGTCATTTCATATTTCTGGCACAGCTCGTAATCGAGAGCCTTGGCCAATGTTAACACACCTGTGGAGGAATTGATGGCAAAAGTGCCCTCCTCATTTCCCGAGGAGATGCTGTACCGAATCATTCCATTCATGGCTGTGTCTCGATCTCTTGCAGAAACCGTTCTGATGACCGCCCCGACCCTGTGGCTCTCGGGGATGGTTGCACTCATGTGGCTTTGAGAAAATTCGGGCGTGTGATAGTTTTCCTCAGTGACAGTTATTTGAACAGTGGCTTGGGAAGAAAGTGGAGGGTTTCCTTTATCCTTTGCGGTGACAGTGATCAAAAAGTTTTGATTCAAGTCGGAAATTAGGGAAGATGCTACTGAAATCCACCCAGTGTCATTGTCCAACTTAAACTTGCCCAAATGATTTTCATGAGGAATGAAGTACTCCACTTCAGAATTCAACCCAAAATCTTTGTCATCGACTGCAGTCACTTTGATGAGCTTTGTACCAACTTTCACATTTTTGGTGACGGGAGTAAAGTACTTATTTTGAAGAAATTGAGGTGGGTTGTCATTACTGTCCACCGTGTTGATGGTGACCGTTGTCTCACTTAGTAGGGGAGGATTACCTCGGTCTGAAGATGTCACTATAAAACTGTGCCTGTTGATGTTCACATTGCTGAAGCCACTGATGTTTTGGTATTTTAAAGCCTGCTTATTGAAAATCTCTCCAGTGGTGGCATTAATCCTAAAGTATTCTGACTGAGACTTTATAAAATAAAACACTTGTCCATTGGGTCCCTCATCAGGATCTGTGGCAGAGACCTGAGTCACTTTAGAGCCAATCTCAGGAAGTTCAGGGCAGTCCAAATAATAGGAGGGTCTTCTAAATCTTGGAGCATTGTCATTGATATCTGTGACAAATATTGTGACATCTGTACTTACGGTCCACCCAGAATCATGGGCAGAGACTCGGATTCTGTAGCGGTCTGTGTCCTCCCTGTTTAAAGGTCTGCTGACGACGATATCTCCCGTGCTGGGGTTAATGGTGAAAGGGAGGCTTGTGTCCATTATGGAATATCTACTAATTGCATTTACACCGATGTCCTCGTCCGAGGTGGTGACACGTGTAACCGTGTATCCTAAGGGGGAGTTCTCGGGAATGTGGGCACTGAATATCTGAGAAAAGCGAGGGGCGTTGTCGTTTTCGTCTAGAACGTTGATGATGACGTTCACCGAGGTGCTCTGGGAAGGAGACCCTTTGTCTGAAGACTTTATGGTGAGCACATAACGAGAGACTTTCTCTCTGTCTAATGGACGGATACTTCTAATTTCACCAGTGACATGATTGATGCTGAAACTGTTTTCTTGGTTGCCACTGACAATTTCATAATCTAACTGTCCATTTGGCCCACTGTCCTTGTCCACGGCTGAAACAGTCAGTATTTTCCGGGGAGAAAGATTTTCTAATATTTCAGATACAAATGGATCTTCTTTAAAAACTGGGGAATTGTCATTGACATCTAATACGGTTATGTCAAGTTTCTCATAAGAAGAGAAAGGAGGGAAGCCTCCATCTCTGGCCTCTATCCACACAACATATTTTTGAATTTTCTCAAAATCTAAAGATTGACGAATGGACACTTGTCCTGATAATTGATCAATTTGGAAAGTATTGCCAAGATTCCCACTTGCAATGTAGTAAGACAAAGTCTCTCCCCTCAAAGAGGATCCCGTGACGGTGGTGACAAGAGTGCCCACTGGCTGGTTTTCAGGGAACATGAACGTCTGCTCCTTGGCTCTGACTTTAGGGAAATCCGCCTTGTTCACAAATCTGACAGTCACGGTGGTCGAGTCTGTCTTTGGAAACGGACCGCCGTCCTTCACGTGTACGGAAAATGTCACTTCTGAAGCACCGTTGAGTGGTCCTGCTGCCATGATGGCTCCCCTCAGTGGGTCTATATGAAACTTTTCAGAGTTTCTGCCCGAAAGAGAATAATGTAGCTCAGAGTTGGGTCCAATATCGGCATCTGTGACTGTCACCGCAAAGACAAAGGAGCCTAGAAAAGAGGGAGTTTATAGTTAGAATCACGAGGAACCCAGGAAAAACACATGGTAGTAGGCTAATGCGTTTAAAACACTAGATTGATATGACTTCTTTTGGCTACAGCAGAGAACAGTATCTCCTCAATTTATCTGAAGTTCCCAAATGAAATCTGCTTAATGTTCTCACTAAAACCCATACAGTCAGGTGGATTAATATTTTTCAGTGTGCCTTTGAGAAAAACACCGGGAGAGAACTGGATACTCATTCAGAATCATGGTTCCTAAGAGAAAAATCTGTATGTAATACAACATTCCAACAAACACAATAATATGTGTGCTCTACAAAGAGCTGAGCTTCTACCCAATGAGGAAACAGCCTTGCTCTGTCCTGTGGTGAAACACCCCCTTGAATTACTAAGTATGCGATCTTGTCAACAAGAGGGATATGTTTTAAAAATTACTGTTGATTCATTATACCAAGAGTTTCATGGCAAAATTATTTTAATCTGTGAGCTACTATTACATGGAGATAAAAGAGTGCATATACAGCATAAATAAAATAATTATAATGTATTATGAAATAAGAACTGAGGAAGGATGGGCTCAATTTGGATTCCAAAATTTGGTGTTTGGAGTAACTGCCAACTGAACAGATTGTAGTGGTAAGATGCAGAAAAACTTTCATAAGGACTTTTTTTTTCAATATACTCATTCAGAAATCCTTCCCAAACAGCCCTACAGAAGAGTTTGTGACAAAAGTAATAAGTCTTTTATAAGAAAAAAAACAAGTGACTCCTATTAATTATAGTAAGTCTAAGGAAGAAAAGATGCGTAGGCATACCTCATTTTGCATGGGAGATATGGTCCTACCCTGCTGCACAATGGACATAATTAGAATCATGCCTGCCAGCATCATTTCAGCTAAAGACCTTCATCAGGAACTTATGATTTGGATTTTTACATGTCTTTTTGATAAAATGTTGGCACATACATTTATGGATTTTATATTTTCAATTGGTATCAATTAGACTTTCTGAAGTTTACAGAAGATCAAAGATCACTAAGAGGAGGAATATTGAATCCATTTACTTTTTTCTTATAATTAAAAATATTTTTTTTTTAAAGAGAGAGTGAGAGAGGAGAGAGAGAGAGAGAGAGAGAGAGA